AATATTTGCCCTGTGTCTTACGCAGCCAGATAATTTTTTGATGTGCATGGAAGCCTCCACATTACAGGTTTCTCTTCCCTTGGAAATGTTTAGTTATTTTAGGGATCTTTACATAGAGAGACAGCATACTTTTTAAAGCTGTATAGTATTCCACACTGTGGCTGGGCCAGACAATATTTAACCACGGTCTACGAATGGACATAGGTATGGGACTTTTGCCAGATTTTACAGGCCATGACACCAAGGCTTAAGGAGATCATGTGACTCGCCTGAGGTCAGAAGTCATACGTCTAACTGTGACTGAGGAAGGACCAGAGCTCAAGTTGGTCTGGTTCCAGTCTGAGCTCTTAAGCAATCTGCCATATTTACTGTCTGGCACAAGGCATTCAGTAAATACTCAAACTGATTAATAAACCAACAAGGCAATGGTGAGACAAACAGATCAAGGTAAATAAGGCCAAGAGACTGCTTCTTCCCTTCTGTCCATCATTTTCTGCTGCAATTCTGTTCCTCTTGAGGGACCCAGACACTTGTCCTGTATATTCTATAAAAGTAGCAACACAGAGACATCGCTGCCAATCAACATCTGACAGGGTCCACCCATCCTCCTGAATCATTTACTTCAGCAAGCCCAGGGTAAAGGGAATTCCAGAATGGATGCAGACTCGGGGTTTGCTGGCCCAGAGCCGCACAGCTCTGACAAGGTCAGGAGGGAAGCAGGGAGAGGGGCTCCTTTGGGAACACAACACCTGTGCTACCTTCCAGACGTCACAGAGCCACATCTGAGAGACCTGCTGATGAGAGGGCCAGCCTTAACTCTCCACTCCAAGACTCACAGCACTGGTTTCTCCAAAGCAGCAGACATCCTGAGAACCTTCAGTTCTTTCCAAGCCTGCAGGAAAGCTGACACTGGAGCCCTGTTTCTACGCTGTGTTTTACATTAGGCTCAGTCTTTCGATAAATTTAACACCGGAATTATATACAACATGAAGTGCAATGCAAACCCAGCGACTCCTTCACCAGCTCTTCTGGGAGCAGCTGCTGCTGGAACAGGGCTGCATCTGACAACAGGAAAGCCTCGTCTTTCAATGTGGAGGGGCCCTAGGGAAGGCGCCAGCAAGGTAACCTCCCTGTGACCTTGTGAGCGATCAGAAAGATTTACTCCATCTTGTAAGTGTCAGAAGAACACAACAAACTCTGCCATCTGCCTCCAGTCTTCAGGCCATGGCATGCCTGCCTTCCCAAGTGCCAAGCTAAAAAGTGACGGACAGCAGGGCAGGCTACACACCACACACACAGTCCACACGTTACACACCACACACAGTCTACACGTTACACACCACACACACACAGTCCACGCGCTACACACCACACACAGTCCACATTCTCTGTGGGCTCTGTGGACATCTCTTTGTGGACTGAGGAATCATTTCAGGTACACAGAGAATTTCTGGAGAGAGGAATGGATGGACAAGCCTAACACCTGTCTTGCCTCTGCAGTGATTGATCATAAGGGATATTTATTTAACAAGGGCTCACAATTACGACTTAATTGGTTGTAATCTGCTCAATGAAGGAATAATGTCCTCTGCAATTATTCTAATCTGGTCCATTTAATCTAAAAATCTATGGGACATTACAGATTTTTTTTCCTGAGGCAGAATATTTGAATCTCTTTCTCTGCATTTGCATTTCAACTATTGACATATAAAACAAATGGCCACTTCTTTTAAAGGCTGAGATTAAAAAAGAAAAAAATCTATAATTTTTACCCAAGCTGAATGTTAGCACTTACTAGCTGTAAAACCAGCATTTGCAATTCCCCTGCAATGAGGTCCCCATAGCTTCTGTGTTTGCTTTTCTGCTCCCTCCACTGGGCTCAGACTGAAATATGTAGAATGGAAATTTCATTACTCCATTTTATTTGACTTGTGCATTCGTGCAGGTATGTATGTCAGTGGTATACAGGCACGTGTGTGGGCTGAGACCAAAGAATGCCAGTGTCCTGCTCTCTGTTTTCTTCCCTTAAGGCTGGATTTCTCTCTGAACCTGGAGTTAGGCTGGCAGCCATCAGACCCAGCGAGCCTCCTATTATCCCTGCTAGCTTCCAGTGGTGAGGCTAAAGGTATGTGGCCATGCTTGGATTTTTATGTAGCGGCTGGGGATTTGAACTAAGGTCTTAATACTTGCACAGCAAGCATGCTCACCTACTGAGCTATTTCCCCAGCCCCTGCAGTAGGTTAAAAGCAGGCATGTCATCATCATGTCCAGCTATTTAAAAAAAAAAAACAGCAAGGAAAATACATCTACAGAGATTATCTAAAGGAAAGAGAAAGGGAGGGATGGAGGGGAGGGAGAATAATCATGCCATCACATCATCATGTCCAGCTATTTAAAAAAAAAACAGCAAGGAAAATACATCTACAGAGATTATCTGAAGGAAAGAGAAAGGGAGGGATGGAGGGGAGGGAGAATAATCATGCCATCTGCATTTGTGGGTTTACATTGGAAATATTAATGTTTATAGTCCCTCCTACCACAGCACGTTGACAAATTCTCTTCTAGACACTGCAAAACTTTACATCTCTTGAGCTTCAGAGAATCAAAATGCAGATCACGACAGACCCATTTCTCAACGTTTTTGTTTTATAATTATTACAATTCAATTCTAGTGGGGTTTTGCTGGATATATATCAATGATGAAAATCTTCTTAAAGTAAATCACTATAAAACCCCTTTCTTTTATACCACGCTGGTAGTGCCCTGTCTAAAGGTCTTTGGGGAAAATAAATAATGGGAATTTTGTTATTGATCTCATGCAGAGGCAGTGTATCTAATGAGTTATTGTTATTTTACCCAGAGCAAATATTATGAGGTCCAAAATAATAACATTCAATTAAAGAAAGACTGCCTGATAGGACAGAAGATAAGAACGTAGTGTAACAATGAATTTCTTCCAGGAGTTTCTAAATACTAATTTAGCCTGTCATACATTTAGAATGAAATTCTTTGCAAAATGTAGTTTCCCATGCCACCGTAATAATTAAAGTGATTATTTATCTTGTGATAGACAAGTATCATCTCAGACAAAAGGAGGTTGCCGTTCTTCATTAAAAGATAATTTATACTTTAGATTCATTTTTAAGTGTAGCAATAACAACAGAAGCCTTAAGCTGATAGCCAAGTCTCCCTGGATTTACCAAACTACTTGAAGAGTTCACTCTGAGCAAAACTATGAAAGCCATTTTGAATGTTTTGCACAATAGAGCCCTGTTCAACGGCTTTCAATACAGCAGTTGAGGGTCTCTGGACCATAAGGTCAGGTCTGCAGAGTTTAGCTGGGTCCAAGAAACCATAGTACTCTTCAGAGTGTGGGGAGGAAAAAACATGTCAACAAGCAGGTGTCTGGGCTGCTTCCCCTTGGTGTCATATAAAAAACATGGGAAGGCTCTGCCTGCTAGTGCGGTTTCTGGCCCATAAGGCCACCAAGAAAATCTAAGTGACTTTTGAATTTAAGGAAGCAGCTGGTATACTCTTAAGTCTTCTGAACAAAGCCCTCACTGTTCCTCCCCACGCTGGCCTCATGTGCTAGCCTCTTACTCCTATTATGGTGTCCGAGCTGCCCCACTGCTCCCTTGCCCTCATCACAGTCAGCGGCTCCTCTTTGCTTCTCCTGCAGCCCAGAGTGCTCAGCCCTCTTGACACACAGTGAAAGCAAAGGCAGAAGCCTTGGCAACAATGTATATTTTCCTTCTCAAACACATCACAAAACCACTCCCACAAAGAGGCGGGGTTTTTTTTCTTGTGGTGATTTTCTTCAAAGTTTCAAATCCCACCAGTTTCTCCAAGCCAAGGATTGCGAAGAGAAAACCAGGGCTGGAGAAATGGCTCTGTCAGTGAGTCAAATGCTTGCACCACACAGAAACTAGCTGTGGTGGTATATGCTTGTAAGCTCAGTCCCATAGGGCAGAGATAGGTGGACACTGGGGGGTTCTCCCATCCAAGTACTAACTAGGCCCGGGCCTGCTTAGCTTCCGAGATCAAGTGTGCTGAGAGTGGTATGGCGGAAGATAGTTCCTGGGGTTCTCTAGCTGGTATAGATCAAATGCAAGTTCCAGGTTCGGAGAGAGACCCTGTCTCAAAAAAAAATGAAATGGAAAAATAATAGAGGAAGATACCAGAACTTGACCTCCTCACACATTCACACAGGCAAGTACACCTGTGATGACAAACGTGAGTGTATGCATATACTTGAACACACACACACACACACACACACACACACACACATACACACACACCCCAAATGAAGTCTTTAGACCCCTTGTCCTTTCAGGGGGTAGAGCACAAAAGGGGCCCTTACATATGTGAGAAGTCACTAGAAAGGGGTGTAGTCGACAGATTCCCATTGGGTTGCTCTCCTCTCCACTCTACGTCTTCACACACTCCCGGTTTCAAAGCCCTTACCCTGAACTACATGCAGAAGGGTGGAGACACAGCCTCAGTGCCTGACATGTAGCAGACACTCCCCAAGTACACGCAGACTGAAGAAAACAAGCAAAAGCATTATCAGTAGTGTGCAGGGCTCACTCATGTCAGGGATGGCAAGGAGAGCTTTTATTTGGGGTCAAACCCATGAGGAGGCATGATGAAGATGTCCCAGTTAACTGATAGTGAACTTGAGGTTTGGAGAGGTTCTGGTGACCTGGAGAAGACAGTGGAGCTGGGATGTAGGACCAGCCAAAGCTTCTGCCCTTAGCCAGGTGCTGAGTCTTAGCAGACTGATGCAACAGCCTCCCGTCCTCGAAGACAAGACCTTGCTCAAGGCACACCATTTTTCACACAGTGGATGCTTTAGAATTTCACAACTGGGGAACATTTCTAAAAACGTGTATCTTTGCAAAGCAATACTCTCGTGTCTTGGAGTGACCATGACCTTTGCGAGAAGCATCCAAAGCACTTGTAAAACCAACAGCAGGAGTACCAAACCCAATGCACACCTTTCCAAGAACCTGTCACCAAGAAGTTCACAGCCCCCAGGCTTCGTCCAACTATCTTGTGAGCATTTCGAATTGCCTGGAAGAGACCAGAGAAACAGAGGGACCCTGGAGAACCAAAATCTGTCAAAACAAATCTGAGCTGTGTAATTTCAGTGTTTCATTGTGATGGGAAAACACAGGCCCCTGCAAGCCTCCAGCTGAGGGCCCCTGCAGGACTTTCTGGGCCACATCTGCATCTTCAGCTGATCCAAGCGGCAGCTCAATGGGTATTAATACTCGACGCCACATGACGCAGATGAGTTTGGGACTGGAATTAGAATGTGTTGGCTGAGGTTCCACTTTGGCACTGAATAGAGGTTGATCAGAAACAGGTACCATCTGGAATTGATGGGATAGTCAAATTGGGTATGTCTCTACACATGGAACTATTTGCCATGCTCTCTGTGATTATACAGCACAGGTGTGGAATGTTGCTGTCGCTAAGGGTAGGATTAGGCAGCACTGGCTGGA